CTCCATAGATCATGAAATCTGGCGTTGACTTCTTTACATTCAACAAAATTTTACAAAATTTAAGGTGGACGCTTTCAATAACAGAATTATTGCCGACTCCCCAAACTTCACATCTAGTGAAGCGTGTAATTATTTTGATTAGAATGGACATTAATACTTTCATTTTTTTTTTTTCACTTTTTTTTAATTCAACACTTTTCCTTCAAAGTTATTAAAATAACTAAAAACGTGTCTAGAAAAGTTGATCTACAAGATAAAAGGACCTTCAGAAGCGTAAAGTTTTGAAAAAGTAAAAGTATATATGTATCTGTAATGCATAATGCATCCGCCCTGGAAATATATGCATGTGTACGTTTTTTTGTTGTTGTTATGTTACCTTCAGTTATAAGGAGTATCGTTCATGCGTACATCGTATGACAATATTGGCTAATTAATTGTTTATTTCGTGGCTGCGCTGACATAAACTAAAAAGGTTCCAAGATAACGTTATTTATACTATAAATATCAATTTATTCTGGTATCACCTAAGTTGAACAAAGGTATACTCGATTGTTTGATCAGTTTGTTCACAATAGCTTTACGTCATTGTACCAACTTAGTGGGGAAATTACCAATCAACGTACCTCGCGTTCGAGTGTGCATGATGCCAAGCTTGAACTGTAATTTAGCCGATTAGGTTCTATTCTCAATCTTAAATTTGTATAAGAAATCAAAACTTATGAAGGATGGAAAATAGGACTGATATTGCTATAAGGCACCTAGTCGGTTTGGTATTATAAGATAATCAGATCTAATGGCATTGAACGATTATAGCCCTTTTCACGGCAACAAAAGAGAACCGGAATGAGTCATGCAAATCCGATATTTGCTATACCAATTAAAATATAAATTACCATATAATTAAATAATAAGTTGAACGTTTTCGTAGCATCAGATCTTTCACGATCCTTTTCACGATCTTCAAAAAGCGGTACACGATCTTTCACGATCCAAAAAATCAATTTTTTGTAAATATTTCCATTTTTGCAAAATTTCTGATTGTGCTAAACACAAAATAACTGTAAGAACCATTTGAATAATTAAAATGGAATGACATTTTTCAAAGAAAAGTTGTTTATAGTCATTCGAATTATGAAAAAAAATCTTGTTTGTTTACATATTCAATGTCATTGAAATGGCGAGGAGCAATCTGCCTTTTGTAGTTTTGTAAAAACGGTTTACTCTCAAACCTTGATTTTTCTCAGATACTGATCATTATGTTGAACCATTTTGACAGACAATTTTATTTTTTTGTAAATTTGTCCGCATAGTTCATTATATTAGATTTGTAATTGACCTTGCATGTCTTCTCGATAAAATTGAATTCACGATCCTATACCAGAGCTTTCACGATCTAATCGTAATACTTGACCACCGTTAGGTATTCTTTAACGATCTTTTATCTAGATAAACCGAATGACACCCGTGTGTCTTAAATATATCACGAATAATGATTATATTTTCCTACATGACTATAGTTACTACATCCTCTGTATCCTAACCAACAAAGCATGTCAATGTGATAAGTAGACAGTTTGTTTGTCACAACGAAAGTATAAAAATTGAAAATTACAACAGTTCTTGCACGACAGCTACTTCCTTGACACTGCATGGTGTCATCACATACAATGAAGGTTTCACTTTTCAGCGCATCTTTACTTTAAGCTATCAACTGGGTGGAACTGTGTGTGTTGTTATCAACTTTAATGTCAAAATCATCTACAAGGAATGTCTATAAGCCTATATATAATGCAAAATAAAATTTAAAAATAATAGTAGAGAATTTTTCATAAAACATCAAATTCAGCAATGCTTGTTATGCTTTAATGTTGATATATATGAGAGTCTGAGAAGACAAAAGAGTACAAATTCTACGGCAATGAAATGAGGGTTTTGACATTAAAAATGACAAAAGTCTATTTCTTGACCTACTCTGAACAGATAGAAATGATACACCCAGCTAAGCTATTGATATACATATATTGTCTATACCTTTTTTGACTGACATCTTTCTATTTTTCCACCACTTTGGGGCATTCAGAAATGACCTTCTTTGGATTTTTGGGTACCGTACCGGTTCCTAATTCAGACATTTTAATCTAATGATTCCTGCAAAAAAGACGAATGCATTTTCTACGTCTGTTATATGTTGACGTCAACAGTCTATAACAGACAGACCGGTTATTTTTATGAAATCATCAGAGCAAAGCTGACAGTTATTTACGTTTATATCTAAAGCCACCTCTTTAATTCGTCTTTTTATGTTGCATAGTTAAATTTTCGATATTAAGGTTATGTATATTTCACACATATATATTATGCTGTAATCGTACTAGGTTGAATTACAAAAACACAATATCACCCGTTCGCGCAAGCTAGTATTTTTTTTATTTCTTTTTTATTTATCTCGCATGAGAATATAACGAAGAAGCCATCGATCTATACATGGAGATTATTCTAAGTTACTCACTTCTCCAATTCTCTTCTTTATGTGTATCCATTCTTAGTTTAACCGCCTAAATCGCCGGCCGATATCTGTTTCCGGTTTTGGGTATCCTGGTATATTTTTTTGAACACGAGGTGTTCAAAATTTCGAGCGATTTTGAACACGGCTTGAACATTTAATGTCCAAACAATGAACGGATCATGAAATAAGATAAACATCGACATATTCTTATTGCGATATTAATATCATAACAAGCCTCATTGATATGCATAATTATGTCACTTATAAGTAAAACTTGTAATACATTCATAAACTATACATAATATGCCAGCTTGGAAGTTTTATATTTCACAATTACTAAAATATCAACAAAAAATTCACGAGATCAACATCCCACGTATAGATTCATATTTTTTTTTAAAGAATTTGCGTTTGAATTGGCCAATTGGAAGGAAAGAAAAAAAAAGAAAATCGGACTATCTACATCTTTAGAACAGAACTTGAACGCCGGTGTTCACTGAGTCTGAACACGGGTGTTAATATTTTGATCACAAACGTAACATTTTGAACACTTCTCTGAGCCTGGACATTTAATGAACATGTGGCATTAAAATATTGAACATTCGGTGTACAAGTTTTGAACGCGTCCGGACGCGTCAGGCGTCTGTTATATTTACAGTGTATCGAACAGAGTTCAAATGACTTGGATGTATGAATGCAACTATATAAAAATAAGAAAATGTGGTATAATTGCCAATGAGCCAACTCTCCACCCAAGACCAAATGACGAAGAAGTAAGCAAGCATAGGTCACCATACGTCTTTCATCAATGAGCAACACCCATACCACAAAGCAAGCTGTAAAATGCCGAAATGACAAATGTAAAACGATTCAAACGAGAAAACTAACACCCTGATTTATGTTCAAAACAATAAACGAAAAACCAGTTTGATAAACAGCCACAAACGACAACCATACAATGTCAGGCTACAGGTATAGCCAAATTTCCACACCATATTATTAAAAGTATGTCGCCTTACCCGGACACATTATTCTGACTCCGAGCCGACCAGTCTTTGGTCTTACTCCTTAATGTTGCGTGCTAAGCGGAGTCAATTTTAAAGCCCCAGCCGGGTCAAACCAAAGACTTTAAACTTGGTATTTGCTGCTTCTCCACTTAGCACGCGGCAGCAAGGAGTAAGAGCAAAGACTTAATTGGTCGGCTCGGAGTCAGAATAATGTATCCGGGTAAGGTGACATGTCTTTCTGCGGACTGTTACATTGTAAACTAGCATGTTAAATATCGAGCTCAGCGTGTTGGTTTAGCACAAAGTAGGGTAAATACTTATACTACATTAACATGTTCTCGTTCTAATCATGTATATTAATTTGCCGCAGGATGTTTAGCAGCCATCCATCATCATCATACCATAGTATTCACCGTTCGGCCTTCAACAATGAGCAAAACCAATATCGTGTTGTCAGCTACAAATTGTCGTGACATGAAAATATGTAACAGTCCAAACCCGATTTATGATAAAACAATAAATGAGAAACAAATATGATAAATAGCAACAAACGACAACATGCTCCAGGTGTGGGACAGACACATAAAGAATATGTCGGGGTTAAACATGTGAGTTACTGCTCAACCCTCCCTTAACATGGGACAGTGGTGTGACAGCACAACTTTAGAATAAACTGTAAAATTCAGTTGGGGGGGAGGGACCACAAATTCTTACGACAGAGTGAAAAATAAATAAGATATATGTATGTTTAATTTAAAACCAGTTCAAATCATTCGATAAATTGGAACATAACACATAGAATTTAGACGACGTTTTGTCCTATTTTCGTCGCCCTATACATGTATCTTCGTGTACACAGTTTATTAGTATTACCAAGGAATTAACATCGAGTCAATATAATACTTCCATACAATTAAGTGTTCACGTTGTCAAATTTTGTATAATTATGAATAGGGAAAAATAAGGAATACAAATAAAGAAAAGAGAGTAATGGTGTGCACGCGTATAAGGAATAACTGTGGAAAATAAAATAATTAGCCAATGCAATACTGATCACAGAAATGAACGATGTACAATATAAGAAATCATCATTCTACTTACAGAAAAATTTAAAGAATACAGAAATAAAAGACCCCCACTTAGACCCTGATGTATTTCCACATGAAGAGCATCAATTTATGTATTTATTAATGAAATGCACATTTATACCCCGAGGGGTTAAAGGCATATAAACAATACAATACAATATATATATACACAATGCAAAAATCATAACATATTAAACATCATATTTAGCAGTAGTAAAAAAGCATCAATGATTAATATAGAGATATATTCGAGTTTTTTTTTTATCAATTTGAATGCACAAAAAAATATATATATACATGCATATAATGCACTTGACATAAATTTATTAACTTCTATTTTATGTACAGTAAAGGTTATTAAATAACCATCAATCATTTCCATATCTTCTCCACGGCCGAATAACTCTTTCCACAACCTGTTTGCGATCGAATTAGAATAGCACACTAGTGAAAAGTAATAAATAGGCCATTGACTGATATTATATCATAAATCATTAGCCTGGTACCAGTGATGAGTTTATTTCCAGTACATGATCACCTCTGTCTATTCAGCATGGTATCTCTTTTGGCTTTTCTGCTGCTGTCTATAGTAAATGCAGGTAAGGGTTATACGATACTCTTACATATAAATGACTTAAATAACATGTTAACCTAATTGAATTAGAATTAGAATAGGCTTCTGATAAATCAGGCCTAAAATTCATCTGATATAGAAATAAACGGTCTTTTTTTTAAGTTATAAGATATAAAAGTATTACAAATGTAGCACTTGACAGAAGCGTGTCACTATTAAAAAAATAATGAGATGTAGTATGATTGCTAATGAGACAACTAGAAGGTTCAGGTATAAGGTTAGGGCTTCAGTTAAGGAGGGGCTTAAATTGCACTTTAGGTGGTGGTGCAAAAAAATTATATATGTCTGATGAAAAAATGAACCTATAGGAAATCCAAACAACCTATATATGCAAATAAGCTGTGCTGGTATTGCTAGAAGTTCTTAAATTTCCACCTTACAAATGTATTACAACAATTGATATCTCAAACGGAATGTTTTATGGGTAGCTGATATAAGTGTAAACTTTGTTGCTGTTATTTCTTCTTTTTTTAAATTTCCTGTTTAACGTGTTTGACTTTCAACAAAGATTAAAAGATAAAAAAAATAGTTTTATTATTTTTATTTTCTATCACTGCTTGAAAGCGGAGTAATCAAGTTTGACCAGATTTACTTGTCAAACGAAAAAAAAACATTTGCTGTTTATGAATATTTATGAGGTCTTATTTTGCGTTATCAACTTTACGTATGTAAATAATGTAGATCTTGTCAAGATTCAGTACTCGATCAGATATGAAGTAAATTAAAGTACATCTGACGTCTAATGGTGTTTGCTTTGAATACATTTTGTTTTCACCAATTACTGAATATTTTGTAACCCCTCACGTTTCCCCTAGGTATTGCATTATAACAACTCGGTCGAATTAAATATAATATTTAGAAGCATTTTCAAAACATAACTTTTCTGTACACTTTTGTCTTTTTTTTTCAAATTTGTGTAACTTATTCTTCAATTAGTCCGACATACACTTCACGTGAACAAACCTGAGACATTTTTTTTCCTCGAAAAATAATATTTTTTTCAAACACTTTTAGGAAGAAACAATGCCTATCTTCGTTTTGTCCCTAATTTTGATTTATGATGCGATATTATACATTTTTAATATTTAAACGAAATTCATTTATGAAAATGCTGTTACATTGAAATTTTAGTAAGAAATCTATAATACTATATGAGAGGACTTGGTTTTTTTTTCGTCGTTTCTCTAACTACCAGATTAAATGAACAACTATGATTCTGTGTCCTGATGTTAGACGATTGTAGTTATTCATTCTCACTTCCCATTATTTGGTTTGGATTAGTTCATTACATCAAAATAAAAATAAAACCCGATAGTTCACAAGTGAAATTCATCCTGCATTTTCCTGTATTTATATTTGATCTAAGACAAATAGAATTGAAACAAACTGAAAAAAGCAATCGAACATGACTGCAGTCGAGCTTTAAACATTAGTAATTACTGCATATACTTTATCAGTTGGCAATGTTATTTTGAAAATAAATATGATAACCCAACTTAATGTTCTAGTATCCTTTATTCTCATTTTATATAACTGAACTTAGTTCCGCGCTGAAACTCTTACTGGCGGCAGAATAAAGCACCTTCGCTAAAAAAGAACAATCAACCGCAATCGTGACTTAAAACAACTTTAAATGCGCTGATTGTATATGAATTTGGTAAAATATCCGAGCTGTATACAAAAGAGAACCACTATTGTAGTATGCCTTATATGGATACATTTGTCCACAACTGATGCCAATAGAGTAGCAATAGAAGTGCGGTACTTTGGGTATCCCTTTGTTATATTAAATGTGAAGACACAACAGAATGATACACGATTTGGCAACAATTAAAGTCTATTCTTTTACTGTATTTCTGTGTCATTTGGTCTCTTGTGGAGAGTTGTCTCATTGGCAATTATACCACATCTTCTTATTTTTATATTCTATATATATAATTTAATTTTGGATGTAACACGTCTTCTGTCTATCAGCTCATAGACATAATTTTATCATGTGACCGTGACGTCATCAACGTTTTTTTCATGATTTACTCCTTAAAAATGGAATTTAGAATTAAATTATAAGGAATGACTGTAATATTTTTTCTGTCTTCGAAATAACCTAAAAAATGTGTGCACACTTTTAAATAACTCGCTACGCGGAGTATTCAGTGTGTATAGATATAAGAAGATGTGGTATCAGTGCCAATGAGACAACTCTCCATCATAGTCAAAATTTATAAAAGTAAACCTTTATAGGTCACAGTACGGTCTTCAACACGGAGCCTTGGCTCACACCGAACAGTAAGCTATAAAGGGCCCCAAAAACTTACTAGTGTAAAACCATTCAAACGGGAAAACCAACGGTCTAATCTATATAAAAAACGAGAAACGAGAAACACTTATGAACCACATCAACAAGCGACAACTACTGAACATCAGATTCCTGACTTAGGACAGGTGCAAACAAATGCAGCCGGTTTAAATGTTTTAATGGTACCAAACCTTCACCCTTTTTCTGAAACAATAGTGTAACATCACAACATAGAAAGACACACTATAAAATATCAACTGAAATAGCTTAACTCAATCAAAGGACATATTAACACCATTGAACATACACTGAACAAATAAATTTGACCTATGACACAATGTAAATACAAAATAAATAAACTAAGGGAAGAATAATAAAAGTAACATATTATATCGGCAAGAAATGTTAAACAATTAAAGAAAATCAATATGCTCGAACAAAAATACCATCCATTTGCAATAACTTTAAACACAGGTAAATGAAAATATTTTTTTTGTTAGGTATACGTGTACAGTACCAATAGAGAAAGGAAATATTTTTACAAAATAAATAATTTAGAATACACCACATTTTTGATGTTATTTCGAATAGACAGAAAAAATATTATAGTCATTCCTTAAATAGATATAAACAATTGCCAAATTAGATGAATACAATTTATTGCTATGATAACGAATAGGCTGCTTACGATGTCCTTGTGAATCTTGTTATTTTATGTAATCTCACTCTTTACTTAAATGGAGATCTACAAAGCATTAAAACCCTTGGCTACGCCGCGTTCTTTAAATATTCATAAAACATGACCAAGTATTGTCTAACCTATAATTGATATTTACTAAACAATGTTGTAAAATATCTGGTGCTCGGGGCTTTATGTACAATGTGGATGTAAACATATAAATACACACATTTTTTTAATAGCAAAATGTTTTATAATGATATCAGACAGGTGTCATATATCCATTCATAATATAAAGTCTATGTACATATTTACATGTCTGTGTTATTAATGCATATCAAAACACATTCTACGGCGTTAGTTAGAATGAAGTGATTTTTAAGCGAGATTTGCATGTTTGAATACGTACAGACATATTCACTAGAACGCTTATAATGGGTGATACTTACATGTTCAGCGGCAAATATTTCGTCTATGTAAGTTGTTAATATTTAATTGAGCCTGACTCGTCTGATTTTTCATACTATAAGTCGGAAACTGACCATCTGGATGAAAACATGTTACTTTTCCTAGACACTCTGACTCCGAGCCGACTGTATTTTGACTTTTCTATTATCTGACATATGATATGTGCTTCGTGGAAAAATAGTAAAGCAAATTTCTTTATTTTTTTATTCCACTCAGTCAGGAATTGAATGTTGGACCTTCCGGATTCAAGACAGAATCGTTACACTTAAACTAAATCCAATTGGCTACATAAGTACATCTAATCTAGTGTGTACAAAGTGACCATAAGCGCCTCAGAACGTTATATCATTAGTATTCTTCTTCGTGTCTTCAGTAAGAATATGTTAGGTTTATACTATTTGGTTATTATTTACGAAATATATAATTGGTAACAAATCTTTTCTGATGGCATAGAATCTTAAATCTGGATGTACTGCTAAAATTGGCTAAATGAAAACAAAATAGAAAATTCGAATCATAAGGAAAATTTATCAGAAGTTGACTTACTACGGGAAGAGCTTCCGAGTTAAATATATATATATGTTGTGTACAAGTTATCATTTTGTACAAATTATAATTTGTATTTTGACTCTGTACAAATTGTAATTTGTACAAAAAGTGCTTGTACAAATTACAATTTGTACAAAATTTGACTAAAATTCACTTATAACTTGTACAATAATTTATCGCGTGGATTTTGTGATAAAAAAGTATTGATACACACTATGGAAACTTTTCAATACAATTTTTCAAGTCATATTGATTCGTGTATATTGCCTTGAGGTTATAAATTTAACTCCTGTTCACTGGTCTTTATATCTTTATTCTCATAAAGCCAATGCATTACATCGATACAGAGATAAACTGGTCTTTCAAATGGTCATTTACAAAATTAAAAGTTAAAGTGTTCACTAAAATGGCTAGTATTGTTGATCAGGATAAATTCTATCAAGAAGTTCAGCAATTGTGTCTGAAGGTTTGCGCTTTGTGGATCAACTAGTACAACTATTAAAGTTGTATCAGAGGAAGTCGAAAAAGGGCATTGTCTGGCCAACAAATTCAAGCGGATGTCCTAACAAGAAATACAAAACAGAAACTGAGCAAGTTATCTGTTGGAGACAATGTCCCAATTCCACAGTATGACTGAGCACCGATCGATCCGAGTAATATACAAGGTGTTGTTGTGGAAGTAGGAAATGTTGGCTATTGTGTAGGGACAATAGCTGGTAATATATCAGGAGTCTTAAGCAGAAACCAACTAGAATCAATTAATGACTCTTTTTTTGTCTGTTACACAATTTCTTGATTTACAACTTTCCCTGAGGGAAGCTGTCAAAAAAATTTCAAAAACTGGTGGGCAGGATTATCTCTCTTGCAAATTAAGGCGATTGTAACAATTCGAATTGTAAATGCAAAAAGCAGAATGTATTGTGTAATTCGAGGTGTCATGGTTCGCACTTCTGCTCCAACAAATAAGAGCATTGTTTATTATGTATACACTACAAACCAGTAAAAGTCTGAAATGGCCTATATCTGTACTCGACTGTACTGATTTTTACTCGACCAGTCTGAATTGGTCTGAATTTTACTTAATATTACTCGACCCGGCTTAACCATACTCGACTGTACTGATTTGTACTTGACCCTTATCTTTGCTATTGAAAATAGTCTAAACTATTACTCGACCAGTCTGAAACAGTCTTAACCCAGTCTGGACCAGTACTCGACCAGCTCTCGACCTATTTTTTCAGTCTGAACCATACTCGACCAAAGGTCTGAACAATACTCGACCAGTCTGAACCATACTTGACCAAATAACCTCTTCTTTATAATTTTGATTGTTGAAATAACTTTCTCTTTAACTTACATGACAACAGCCACAATTAAATAAAGATATATATAAAAACATTTTTTACATTCTTTAATAATACATGATTCTCTTAGATTTGGCAAATCGAGATAGTTAAATTATCTAATTTTAAAGTCTGAGTCTTGTTAAATAAAAGACTTTTTTACCTGAAAACCACACCTATACTGAGGGTAATAAAACCTTATTAAAAATAAGGTGCTTTTTGTTTGGCATGTGTTTTTTTTTTAAACAAAACTTGATTTTCCTAAATTCCTAAATAAAAACGAATGTAGGACAGAAAGTCACAGGACAAAAAGTCACAATTCAGTTTTGAGGTAATTTTTCTTTGAACATTTTTGTATTTTTCTTGAAACAATATCAATAATGATCAAATAATTGTTAAGAAAACAAAATGTTACAATGTCTTGGTACTTAAATGGCTTCATGGTGCCAAGAAATATATCCTTTGCATGATTAAAATTTTATAAATCTTTATTTATCAAATTAAGTCTTATGAACAATTTCCTAAACTGTAAAATGAATATGTGTCATAAAAAGTAAACATTTCAAGATCTTTCTCATAAATATTCAATCAATTGTATACAAATTATTTGTGACTTTTTGTCCTATCAAATTTGTGACTTTCTGTCCTGTGACTTTTTGTCCTGTGACTTTCTGTACTTAGGTTTCATGGTCATATACAATAGTTATATAACTATCTTTTTAATGAGGTAACAACAGCCAACAAAATCACTGACATTGTTTAACCTTATATCAGAAATATATCTATTCCTATTCATAATTTGGGATATATTTATATATATTTTAAAAGGGATAAAAAATTCAAGAAATGAATAAAATTTTTCTTCTGATTAGGGGTAAACTATAAAGTAATACATCCTGCTTGACGCACACTGATTAAAAAGATCACACCTGGTCAGAGAGTAATAAATTTTAAATAACATCCATTGAAAATTACAACATCCTGTAAAACTTAAATAACAAGGCCTTTGAATTCACTAGATAAGTAATACACGAGTTTAAGAAAAATATGGTTTTCTTTTTACCTGTAAAACACCTGTACTGAGGTAATTAAACCATTAAACCTTATTAAACTGCTTCTTGTATGCCATGTCTTTAATTTTGACAAAACGTATTTAAATTTAATTAAAATAAATTTCTACTGCAACTTTGGAATACATTTCCTTTTTTAAAAGGTTATCAAGGATAAAAAGATGAAAGTTTTATTATTATTATTATATTAAATTTTTGATTTTACAAAACAAAGGTGTCAATTCTAACATTTATTAAGTTGCTTTATATACTATTTTATATATATTTTGATAAAAAAAAAAATTGAATAACATTTAAGATATTTGAATAATGGTTCAAAGTTATAGTATTTTTGATGCATAAATCAATGTGAACATGATATCATGTATATGAAAATTCATTTAACGAACTTAATTTATTACATGATATTTTTTTAATCCAACCAGAAATTTGATCACCTTGTTTTATTTTAATTTTAAATGTGATATACATTTTATATATATATATATATATATGAATAACAGTTCCTAAATTAATGAAAAAATAATATAGATAGATACAAAAAATAGGTCTAGGTTGGTTAAGACTTGGTCGAGTATGGTTCAGACTAGGTCGAGTATGGTTCAGACTAGGTTGAGCATGGTTCAGACTTGGTCGAGAATGGTTAAGACTATGTCGAGTATGGTTCAGACTCGTATAAAATGGTAAAGTACTGGTCGAGTAAAGGTCAAGTACAAGTTCAGACTGTTTAGTATGGTTCAGACTACAGTCGAGTAATATCAAGTAAATTTCAGACCAATTCAGACTGGTCGAGTAAAAATCAGTTCAGTCGAGTACAAATATAGGCCATTTCAGACTTTTACTGGTTTGTAGTGATAGTATTGTAAATGGAGTTATCAGTGGGTTTCATATTGATTCATAATTAAAATTAAAATTATTTTTTATCATTTGATTTGAAACTTATTATATGTAAAATATTGTACAAGTTATAAGTGAAATTAAGCCTTATTTTGTACAAATTATAATGTGTACAAGCACTTTTTGTACAAATTACAATTTGTACAAAGTCAAAATACAAATTATAATTTGTACAATTTTTTTGTACAAATTATAATTTGTACAAAATGATAACTTGTACACAACATATATATATATTACATAGTCTCAAATAGTAACCATTAAAAAACTAGTGACAAAGCTATTAATTTGTCATGTTCGGCATTGAGTGTAATCTGGTGTGTTCACTAGATTTAGTAATTGTGAAGACAGCTAAGAAGACAACATTGAAACAAGTAATCATCAGTTTTGAACTCACTGTTTTAATATTTAAGGTACTGAAGACTGGCATAAAATTGCAAGAGATCTTCTTACAGAACAGTTAAAAATCGAAACCAATACCAATAAAGCTAAGAACGTAATCTTGTTTATTGGTGATGGAATGGGAATGCCTACCATAACTTCTGCCAGGATATATAAAGGTCAACAGATGCAAAAGACTGGGGAGGAAACTGTCTTCAAATTTGAAGAATTTCCAAATGTAGCTTTGTCAAAGGTAAGCAACAATCATGCATACACAGTTACACTGCCAATGTGTGATCTACAATCATACACACACAGTTACACTGCCAATATGTGATCTACAATCATACACACACAGTTACACTGTCAATGTGTGATCTACAACCATACACACATAGTTACACTGCCAATGTGTGATCTACAATCATACACACACAGTTACACTGCCAATATGTGATCTACAATCATACACACACAGTTACACTGCCGATGTGTGATCTACAATCATGCACACACAGTAACACTGCCGGTATGTGATCTACAATCAAACACACACAGTTACACTGCCAATATGTGATCTACAATCATACACACACAGTTACACTGCCAATGTGTGATCTACAATCATACACACACACTTACACTGCCAAAGTGTGATCTACAATCATACACACACAGTTAAAGTGCCAATGTGTGATCTACAATCATACACACACAGTTAAACTGTCAATATTTGATCTTCAATTATACACACACAGTTAAACTGCCAATATGTGATCTACAATCATAGACACATAGTTGCAATGCCAATATGTGATCTACAATTATGCACACACAGTTACACTGCCAATGTGTGATCTCGCAGCATGCGATGTATATTTTTTCAGGGATGCACGCAGTGTAAAAACTAATAAAAGACACCATGCTGGTAATTCAGTACGTTAATCTAGCATACAAGTTGATTAGTACATTGTAACGGGTAGACAGACGGGTAAATGAAAAATAGACTGTACTTTTTTTTGTAATCAATGTCTCATTTAGTTTTCAACATAGAGTCTTTAAACTTTACAGAATGTTTGTGCATTGCACTCATTTTGAGACTTTGTTAAGGATTCTCCTGATGGTGAAAATTGGTCAATTATCGGCAACATTTTTGATAGAGGGACCCATTTCGTGTTCCCCTTCTACAGTGATTAGAAATTTTGTATAGACACTGAAGATGTTCATATCTCTTTCTATACTCAATTTGATAAATTTTACAGATAGTGAAACTTATAAAATTATCAGCACTGCTTCCATTTGAGTATGTCCCTTCCTCGATAGCATACATGTTACATTTATCTCCTTGGACACATCAGGTTTTGTTTACCTTTGCTAACTGGAAAACAAAATCGTTTTGCATCTCGGCCAAATGATCATAGTCATTGGCCTAGTTTATTATTATTATTTTACTCATTTTATTTTTCATTTTCAAAAATTGACAAAAACTTCAAAATTGCAATTAACTATAACAAATAACAATTAAATAATTATCGTTATATTGATAAACAGTAATATGATGAACGATCCTCCAAAAGATACATTTTTCTTGTCACATTTACAAATTAATGTGCATGAATATGAAGAAATTTTGACTGAATACGTTTTTGTTTCAGACTTACGGAAGTGATAGGCAAATACCAGACTCATCTCAAACAGCAACGGCCCTAATGTGTGGAGAGAAGGTAAATTTCTATACCATTGGTGTTAACGACAAGGTGTCACAAGGAGACTGTGCATTGGAAATACCCAGTAATAAATTGACGTCTATATTGGACCATTTCATCGCAGATGGTAAGAAAGACACAAGTTATTGTTGTCTGTAAATTTTGATTAGAGATTAGAATAGCCGGTAAGCATGTGTACTCTTTAATATTTATAATACTAAATGAGAAGACCCTTTATTTTGTGTATCGCTTCTCCATTTCCACATCAAATCAATCAATATATATTTCTACCCTAATGGTAGTTTGTTATCCTCGGTAAAGATTATTTATTTTAGGCAAGTTACGAAATAATTAGGAAAACTAAATGATTTCCGAATGTCTCTTCCGTCATTACCCCATCGCCGTTTTGGAATTGTATCCCTGCATGCTTCTTTCGCTCGACTCCTAGCCTGGTATCTAGGGACAGACATTTTGCCTTGCAACAGGCCACCTACGGACCATTTAAAGAGTTGTTGCAAGGGTTCTTAACGTGCAGAGAGCGTGGCACTCCCTCTACATCAGATTTAACATCCATATTCTGACTGGACGTGGATGCGTATTTATAAATCCCGCACAGCCAACCGAACGCCCCACTTCGGCAAAGCTTTTACTGTCGGTAGTAAGAAGACAAAATCGACTTTATTTCTATTCCAAAAGTCTATACGAATGTCTAATGCTCAGTAAATGAAACTAATATGCAATGCAGATAAGATGGATCTAAATTCATGATTTTATCCTAAGCCAGACACCTAATGTTACATTTACTATTATACAATAATGCATTTGTAAAAAGTTTGTACATGTACCCTGACGATTTTACAACATATTTTACTCAAAATCGACATTTTTAAACTATACATTGTTGTCGAATTTTACATTTTTTTCATCAATATCTCTTCAAACATTATCATATTCATATTCATCATTCGCCAAGTTTTTCAATAGATATTGCCTTATCAAATCAAGTCTGATATTGTTTTTATCCACAATCCACGTCAACATTCCTTTGAATCAATTTGTTGATGAAGGGAAGGGAAATATTTCTGGGAAAGTATCGACTATACTGCACGGAGTTAACGTTGGAGACCTTTATTGATTGATTGACGTTATCTTGGTCTCTTGTCATATAGTTCCTAAAAGGTATTTAGGGAACTGAAGAGACTCATCTCTACTGTTCCCTTTTCCTTTTTCTCTGACACAGTTTGTATAAGATAAGATGCCAGCCGAAAGCAAAAGCCCTGGAAAAGACATTTTAACAGTACTCGTGACGGTAACCTATACAGAAACTTTATTTCATTTTATAATTTACCTACGGTCAAGGATTTTGCTGGTATTTGGAAGTTCCAATGTCTTTTTAAACATGTAAACAGATATTTAAACATGTCTTATTACTGCAGTCTATAATACTTTTCTCTTAGGACGATCTGGAGGGTTCGTTACAACAGCAAGACTGACGCACGCAACACCAGGCTCGTCTTATGCACATACAGCTAATCGTGCATGGGAATCCAACGAGAAAATGACAGATGTTCCCCAGAAATGTAAAGACATCGCTTACCAGTTTGTATACGATAATACAAAAATCCAGGTAAATTGTTTGTTTATTACAATATTACGTTCAACATGTTAACGACTGCTACTGATCTCCAATGGTTGGTGTAATATACATGTAGTATTTTAACTTATTACTCCGATAAAAATAGTGAAAAAAAATGAATATTTTCTTGTATGTTTCGGAGATTTTTTGCTTTAAGTGATTTTGATAATTTTGACAAACAATCCTTTGGAGAATGATAAATATGAATGCATTTTTTGTTGCAAATACTATGCAAACTATAAACAAAGGTTACACCTTCCGAATGCACCATTGTTTGACAGATTCGTTCAGAGCTTCTGGTGTAATAATGTTCCACATCAAATGATTTATAAAAATAGAAAAAAAACCCGCTGAGTGTTTTGGACTTGGAAGAAAAAAACAATAGAAGCAAGAGGTAGCGGGCGGGTGAACGGGGCTGGCTCCCGTTAGCCGCGACTCTCTTGTCACGTCTGGTGTTTTGGACTTGAGGAAAAAAGAAAGTGTTTTTCTTCTAGAAATTTATTATTTTATTCATACATTTTAAACTTGCTGATTTTTACTTCATTACTTTGATATATTGTGCTTAAAATGCTCGGTAGAATGTCATATTGGATACTGAACAAATATTTGAGAAAACATAGACACAATAATAAGGGTATATTTACGTATACTTTAAAAATCAATATATATTGTGACCACCTGTTGCGTCCTCGCACTGTTCTACATCTACTTGGCATGCATCGAATTGAATTTAAAAATCAAATTGTAACAGATTTCACGATTTCTACTGTATTTATACTTTACACATACATCGGAGCTTCATACACCTACAAATGTAAAAAAAAAATCATCATAACAATTTGGCGTTATTTAACATTAAAGTTATTGTAAAGGGGGTTAAAAGGCCTTGAACCATTACATTACAGTTTTTACAAGATTGTTTATAATGATATCACGTTGACGGGTCATTTTACCATGTTTACAGTAGATTTCTATCAGGTTTCCATTCATCAACAATGTTAAATATTGACTGTTTTTTTTTTTAAATTTATAAAATCGTCACAGATCGCACTCTACGTCCTCATACCCAGATGCATTTAAATGGGTTTCCTTTCTAACTGGGTGATTTGATTATACCGATTATGTGCTATAAAGGTGTATTTCAAATGGCCTGATAAAGAACATAATAATAAAGAAATTTGACCAGGGGCATCATCTTTAGTAATATAAGCTATCAATGATTACACGAAATGTAATAAAATTGACATCATGTGTGTTAAACTGACGTATAGCAGCTAGATATGAGACTTATTCATCATGACAGGACTGTATTAAAGTAAGCTTCTTGCAATTGTAGTCTTTATCGTTTGATATGACCAGAATATTAGGAACCGTATATCAAGTTCATGAATACAAATCAGCCACTACGTTTTATCCTCCCGAATAAGAGTCTCCAATCACAAATTGTTAGTCCGCTATGGATACTTAGTTTGTCTTACAATTGACCGTCGTTCTTTATATGATACTGTACGTTACGTGTTAATAAATATTGACCAATAATTTACAGTTGAACGAGTGAATGATTAAATAATTGATTGATTGGCTGGTTGGTTGGTTGCTACTTAACGACTATGCTGAGCCTGACTCAGCTAGTTTAACCAAGGGTTAATCGCAATCTCGGCAAATTATAAAAAATAACAACTTGTGTGTGAATATTGCAGATTATAATTCCACCAGAAGGGATACAGCAGTATTACAGAGTGTGTATTGTTTGATAAACTGAAGAAATAAAAATACAATATTTTACAATATGTACGAATGAAATATATGAACGTTAAATGCAATATTAATAAAAGAGTCAAAAACGAAAGTAGAATTTGCAGTTCAATTCAAAGAAATAAACAATTACAGTTCGTATTTGTTGAATAAACGTGTAGTTCATGTTAACGGAATTAAAAGAATATATATTTAACAGTTTATAATCGATTTGGAACGTACTTGACGGTGATTGTCACAATATCCACAGGATCAAATTTGTCGTGACATCCATTTGCAATTGAAAGGCGAGGAAGAGAAAGTAAACGGCAGTACACATACGGAGAAGTCCAGATTCATTTCCGGAAAATATGAATGTCTGAAAATACAATCCAATAAATGTTATAATTAATATAATTGCGAACTTGACTTAGCATACTCCCCGTCTGAAATCTATCTGATATCACTATTCCATAAAATATAACACATGTGAATGTCACTATATAGATCCAAAATATGTACATATAATTATACAGGGTTGTTCTCTACGAGAAGAATCATGTCCACGATAGGTCGTGTGTAGGTTTTGGCTTTCCCATTTACGATTACTCGTACTTCTGCTTTCCGTACATGTTCATCGGAACTTTTAAACGAGTTCACTATAATTCCAACGGGCCACTGGGTACGGCAAAGGTTTTTGTCCTTTAGAAGAATGACGTCTCCTTCGATGAGATCACGGCGATCTTTGGTCCATTTTCGTCGTTGTTGTAGTAACGGCAGGTACTCTTTCTTCCAACGGGACTAGAAAACACTGGCCAGAGCCTGTACTCGTCTCCATTCGGCAAGATATAAATCACGTTTGTCGAATTCTCCAAGATGATTCGAAGTGAAGATGTAATCGGTCTTCTGTGTCAATAACATAGCAGGAGTTAATATTAACGGATTCTCTGGATCTGTCGATACCGGTACCAGAGGTCTAGAGTTTACTATTGCTGAAACATCTGCCATTAGAGTGTTGAGCACGTCATGCGTTAGGCTTCTTCCGGCTGCATTTAAAAGCATAGAATCAAAAATTCTCCTGTTGATACCAATCATTCTCTCCCAGGCTCCACCCATGTGGGACGAATGCGGCGGATTGAAGATCCAAGTTGTACCAGAATTGTACAGAAAGTTCTTGAAGGGTCCATCCTCAACGTTGATCGAGTCAATCCTCAAGTCGTCGATTGCGCCAATAAAGTTTCTTACACGGTCAGATCGGAAAATCTTAACTTGGCCTCTTATAGCGGCGAATCTCCTGACGGCGTTTATGAAGGCTGAAGAGCTCATTTCCTCGATTAGTTCGATGTGAACAGCTCTTGTCACTAAGCATGTGAATATAATTGCCCAACGTTTTGAGTTAGCGTATCCACCACGTGTTTTACGTGAAGCAATTGTCCAGGGTCCAAAGGTGTCTATTCCAACGTTGGTAAACGGAGGTGACGGTTCAAATAAAGGCAACAGTAGTATACCGTGTTCATAATTCATAAATCGATTGAGAAAAAAACAAATCCGGGTTACAAACTAAAACTGAGGGAAACACATCAAATATAAGAGGAGAACTACGACACAACAGAAACACAACATTAAAATGTAACACACACAGAAACGAACTATAATATAACTATGGCCATTTTCCTGACTTGGTACAGGACATTTTAAGAAAAAAAATGATGGGTTGAACCTGGTTTTGTGGCTAGCCAAACCTCCCGCTTTTATGGCAATGTTAAATATAACATTAAAATTTCAAGACGGTCCTCTGGCAAATCAGACATGATTTGACACTCGGTTTTTCCTCTTAGTTTGCGGCATGTCACACATTTGTGAATAATAGAAGAGATCAAGCGTTTTGCTCCGACGATCCAGAATCCTGCGGATCGAATCGCTCCATCTGTGAAGTGGCGACCTTGATGTTTTATCTTGTCATGGTAGTGTCGGACTAATAATGTCGCTACATGATGGCGTCCAGGAACGATCAATGGTTGCTTTTCTCAAATGTTCAAGTCAGATTTGACAATACGGCCTCCTATTCTTAGTAGTCCTTGGTCGTCCAAAAACGGATTGAGGTTGGCTATCGGGCTTCGTTTATGAATTTTTTCCTTACGTCGAATGCTATCTATTTCTTCTCCGTAAACTTCGTGTTGTGCAGACATTAAAATGAAGTTTTCGGCATTCGAAAAGCTTTCTGCAAAAGTCACTGATTGTGGCTGTCATGTCCCGTGTAAACAGGAGAAACGTTCCAAACGGGCTATTGCTCGCACAAGTGATGTCCAGTTGGAGAATTGGTTGAATCTATCAGTTCCGATACCTTTACGCTCAGGTGTGGCAAATGTTTTTGCAACATTAACAGTTGCACGGATTTCTCTATCTTCCTCTGGATCTATTAATTGATATATGTCCTCGGAATTCTCCTCCTGTTCTGAGAAAAGAAGTGGTCTCGGTCCCAATAACCACTCACCACTATGAATTTTGTTGGCTTGTACTTGTTCCCGAATCTGCGGGATTACGGTTAGTTGGTACATAATTCCATTGACTTGGAGAGCTAAATTTTCTTATTTTCTCTACTCTATTGGCGACGTAGATAAAGAACCGTCTTGCCTCGTTACTGATGTAACCTAAGACCACTTTACTGTCTGTGTAGAATTTCACGGTGTCTATGTGTAAATCTAAATTATCCACGATGGTTTGTGTGATCTCAACTGCTAATACGGCAGCAGATAGTTCAAGTCGTAGAATAGTGTGACCACTTGTTGGTGCAACTTTGGCTTTCCCTAGAATGAACCCAATGTTTAGATATGCAACAGCTGCTATGTCTTTTTCTGACGCATCATAGAAGACATGTAACTCCTATGTGGTGGTTTTGCTGAGATACGGCACGTAGGTACGTGGAATGCGCAATGTTTCAATAGCTATTAGAGTATATCTCCAAGATTTCCATTCAGCTGCTGTCTCATCAGAGAGAGGTTGGTCCCAGTCGACGGTTTCTGATACTATTTTCCTTAGTAGGAGTTTTCCTTGTATAATAACAGGCGCTAAAAATCCAAGAGGATCGTAGATGCTGTTAATTGTTGATAAAATTCCTCTCCGAGTGATCGGTTTGTTTTCTGATGACAATTGAAATAAGAAGTTGTCAGTGTTTACGTGCCAGCCGAGTCCAAGACTACGTTGCAGGGGTTTGCTGTCGACATATCTAAGTCTAGATCCTTGAGATTTGAAGCCAAGTCACTGGCATGAAATGCAGACATAACTTCCGCACAATTAGAGGCGAACTTGTGAAGCCGTAAGTTTCCATATTTTGCTTATGCTTGCTGTGTGTCCTTAATGAGCTTAACAGCTTCCTCTTTTGTAGGACATGACGTAAGACCGTCGTCGACATAGAAGTCTCTTGTAACAAAGCTAGTCACGTGACTGCCGAACTCTTGTTCTGATGCCTGAGCTGCTTTTCTGAGTCCAAGCGTAGCAACAGCAGGTGACGGACTATTTCCGAAAACATGAACCCTCATGCGGTATTCGACAAGGTCGTTGTCTTTATGCCATAAAAATCTCAAATAATTTCGGTGGTCTTTTTTCTGACTACAAAACAGTGAAACATGTGTTGAACGTCTGCAGTTACTGTGACCATTTCTTTCCTGAAACGCATCAGTACTCCCAAGAGATCATTGGTCAAGTCTGGACCTGTTAGCAGGACGCTGTTAAGTGAGACTCCGTTACATTTGGCGGAAGAATCAAACACACCCCTTATCTGATCGGGTTTCTTCGGGTGATAAACACCAAACAATGGTAAAAACCAGCACTCTTCAAGGTCGTCCAACGGTGGAGCGAGCTCTGCATGATTATTGTCTAGAATCTTACTCATGAATGTAAGAAAGTGTTACCGTTTTACTGGGTTTCTATTTAGACTGGCGTCTAACATATTAGCACGATGAAGAGCTTGTGGTCTGTTGCTTGGCAATGGCTGTCTTCGCACTCGGAACGGTAACGGTGCAACCCAACTTCCTTCCGAGTCCCTCGCAAATTCGTTGTCCATCTGCTTCATGAATATTTTGTCTTCATATGACATTCCAGGCTTATCATCGTCCATAGTTTTTTCAAAGAGTGGCGATTGTAAATCTTTCTTAACGGGGTCTGTGTAATTTTCCCGAATGTCAAACTTGCTCGTGCATGGTTGAAACGTTGACGGTTGTCCTGTAGGTAAAATGTTGGTAATTTTGACGTTTAATTCAAAAGGCACGTGCTGCTTGTTAATGCAAGTCTCCCCTATCACTACCCAACCCAGCTTCAACTGTTGTGCATATGGAGTTCCGGGTGGTCCTATGCGCTGGTCAAGGACGTGATGTGCCTCTATAAGGTCTCTGCCAATTAAGAGAAGAATTTGGTAATGTTCCTCTATTGGTGGAATGCTTCCTCTGAGTTCTTTTAAATGAGGGTGATGCATTGTGACTTCAGGAGTAGGAATTTCGTCCCTATTATTAGGAATATGATCACATTCTATAAGTACAGGGAGGTCAAATTTGTCATTACCATTTATTGATTCCATGACGAAACCTCTTCCTCTTTTCCCGGAAGTGACTACTCTGCCGGAACATGTTGATAAGGTATAGTTCTCTGGTTTATCTTTTACGTCGAAAAGATGGAAGAATTCGGGCGATGCTAGTGACCGGTTGCTTTGGTCATCAATGATGGCGTACATCCAGATAACTTTGTCCTGGTTATCCTTGTGATAAACATTCACAGGTAGTATTTTAGCACAAGATTTCCCGCTATATGTATCCTTGTAGATCTCAGTGCAGGTAGAGTAAACTGAGGTTGACTTAGTTTCAGCCGATTCTGTTGGCTCCCCGCCGTATGCTTGTCCGGGCGAGCTAGACTGAGAACTTGCAGGTTGCTGTGGTCTAGTGATGTGAAGTGCGGTAGTGTGTTGTTTACTTCCACATACTTTACAACTTATGCGTGCATTGCATTCCCGGCTTTTGTGTGTGGTGGAATCGCAACACTTGTAACAAATATTGTTTTGTTTCAAAAGACCTTTGCGTTCCTCCATTGACTTGGCTCGGAACGCTCGACACTCATTTAAGGAATGCTTTGTGTTGTGCAGAATACAAAGACCTTGTTTGCTGGCGTCTCCAGATTGCTGCTCAACCGCTGTTTTATGGGCACCTACTTTAGTCTCAGGGTGAGACGTGAACCTTGGCGCAGCACCTTTTGTATTTGGTGTGACTTTTGACCCAAAGATGAATCCAGGATCGTTTTTAATTTTGCTAATTTCACTAATGAATGCAGATAACTCTGTCAAAGGCGGAAAGCAAACGTCGTGGTTCAATTTATATCTAGATGCCCTTGTAATCCACTTTTCCTGAAGTCCATAGGGTAGTTTTTCAATGATAGGGTATATTCCAGATGGTGAGTCAAAATAACCCAGTTTGGGATTTTCCTTGTGATATTCTATTTCTGATAGAATATCAGACAGTTCATAGAGACGTGCGTTGTCCTTGTTCGTTAAGGTTGGAAAGTTGACAAGTTTACTCGTGAGAGAGGCCTCTAACATTTCCGGAGCACCATACCGCTCGTCAAGCCTCTTCCATAATCTTTGTATGCCTTTTGTAGGGTTATTGGCGTTTGACGCTCTCATGCTAATGGCATGTTTAGCAGACTCTGGCCCGAGCCACTTGATCAGTAGGTCAATCTGTTCAGAGTCAGAAACTTGTAATTCGTCTGTGACGTTTTTAAAGCTAGCTTTCCATGTATGGAAGGATTCTGCCCGGTCGTTAAAGCTTGTTAATCGAGGGAACAGCAGGTCCTTACGTAGGAGAAATCTTGTTATCTCCGATGTAGGATTGATTTGTTGCTGGTGTGCAACAGGGATCTCCTCTGAAACGCCCCGTTTTTGGTGTACAGCAAGGATCTCCTCTGAAACGTCTTGTTTTTGTATGTCAGTTACTTTTCCCAGATCCGGGATCAAAGTAACTTCTGGTGACTTAGTATCTGTAGGCAAGACAGCAGGTGTCTGTGACTGCAAGTTCAATGCCACGGATGGCACGAAGTCTGGTGCTTCATGACTTAGCTCAGCCTTAACAGGAGTTTGTTTTTTCCTTTGAGGGCCTGTCACTTCATGTACGGCAGTTGGTACAGGGTACTTATTTACGAAATCTTGCACACGTTGGTGCGGGTCTTCTGTCTCGTCAGGTAAATCGTCTAGCGCTTGGCTGTCGTCGTACTATAGGATACGAGCCTCGGCTTCAGCGGCTGCAGCTTCTCTCTGTGCTTCGAGAAGGTTCAAATTGGCCTTAAGTTCAGCTTTTTCCCGGCTTACACGCGCAACCTCTTGTTCCAATTGAGCTTTCCTGCGTATTACCTCCTGTTTTGTTTGAGCTTTTCTTTGAGCGGCTTCCTGTTCTGATTGAGCTTTTCTTTGAGCGGCTTCCTGTTCTGATTGAGCTTTTCTTTGAGCGGCTTCCTATTCTGATCGGAAGGCGTGTTGCTCCATTTCGGCTTTGACTTCCGTTTGTCTGAACAGAGCTTGTTTCTCTAATAAGGCCTCCTGTTTAAGGATCAGGGCATGTTTTCCGGCAAAGGCTATTTTAGACTTAGCAGCCTCTGCTTTGGCACGCTTCCTGCATGCTAAACTTGACATATCAGAGACGTTGGAGCTTCCGCTGTGTGAGGTTTACTTACTTTTAGATGTCTTCGTTTTCGTAGATTTAGCCTTTGTCAGGGCGAGGCGATGTTCGTGTAATATTCCATGGCAAGTTCCACTTTGGACAGAAGAATATCTGTTGAAAGATTACATGTGTCAATGTCTTTAAGGCTGTCCAACGTTCTGGTATTCTTCAAAAATGTCAGGTACTCATCTATGAGCCTATGATAATTGGTACAAGCTTGTACAATTTTGTCCTGTGCTGTTAGCAGATGCTGGAGCTCGCTAGGAGGCGTGGCCACTTCCAATAACTGGAATTCAATACTTGACCAGAGGGCCTCTAGTTCTTTATATAACTTGTCACGTTTTTCTGTGTATGCTCCTTTACCTTTATCCGTGAGTTCACGTACTTGCCTAGTCTCTTTTTTTTTTCTTGACGCTCAGGGTCGTCTTGGCGTTCTGCGTGTTCAGGATCCATGTTTCCTAATCAACTAATGGATAGTAAGATTAAACATAAACTGTTGCAAACGTTGGCGGTTTGCTGCCTGGTATACACAAGCTGTGTTGCAGTATGTCGTTGTAACAGTTGCGAACGATGCTACGTTGTAGTTCCTTGTCTGGATACGTATAGACAGGTTGTCGTCAATTTACTATGCTCAGCCTGACTCAGCTAGTTTAACCAAGGGCTAATCGCAATCTCGGCAAATTATAAGAATAACAACTTGTGTGTGAATATTGTAGATTATAATTCCACCAGAAGGGATACAGCAGTATTACAGAGTGTGTATTGTTTGGTAAACTGAAAGAAATAAAAATACAATATTTTACAATATGTACGAATGAAATATATGAACGTTAAATGCAATATTAATAAAAGAGTAAAAAACGAAAGTAGAATTTGCAGTTCAATTCAAAGAAATAAACAGTTACAGTTCGTATTTGTTGAATAAACGTGTAGTTCATGTTAACGGAATTAAAAGAATATATATTTAACAGTTTATAATCGATTTGGAACGTACTTGACGGTGATTGTCACAATATCCACAGGATCAAATTTGCCGTGACATCCATTTGCAATTGAAAGGCGAGGAAGAGAAAGTAAACGGCAGTACACATACTGATAAGTCCAGATTCATTTCCGGAGAATATAAATGTCTGAAAATACAATCCAATTAATGTTATAATTAATATAATTGCGAACGTGATCCAGCATAACGACCAGCATCAAATATCATATGCACATTTAAATCATTAACATGTAACATGAAATACCCTGATGTGTATGCATGCTACATTGTAGCTCATAAGGTGACGGTCCACAGGATGAGGTGATGTACTGATTACCGACCAAGCTTGCTGTAACGCGTCCATTTTTTGATAAACAGAAAACACAGATTTGAAAGTTTTAAACTTCAGGAAATTCGGATATAACAGGTTCATGACATTTTTTTGAAAGTACAACAATTCATTAAGGATAATTCACGGTATGAATTAAGTGAATATTGATACACGAAAATCAATATGGCATCATATACATTGATTTATTGTACCAGCATACTATTATCAGCCATAACATTAATGTAAATTAAGAAAATGTTGGTGGGGAAAAAGTTATTTTGATGGTATTGCTTCATAATCAAGATTTGCAACAGTAGATTTCATACACGACTCTCTTCTGTAACTGTTTGATGATTGCACAGACATTTTTGTCAGGAAAACAGCGTTCATGGCAGGAACTAAACTGTCTAAAGTGCTAAGTGCTAAGTTTAAAACTGAAATCACTACATAAGGGAAACGTTTTTAGTATAACAATTTTATGGTCCTAAAATGTTGGTTCTTATGTTAAAACTTGAACCTTGTACTTGTTACATTTTTCTGTTTGAATAGGTAGCAATGGGTGGAGGAAGAAGACATTTTCTACCTAACACCACAAAAGACCCGGAGTATAACACCAAGTATGGACTAAGAGTAGACGGGCAAGATCTTACAACAGTAGGTGCAACTGACTATAGATTGTGTGAAGTTGAGTCACATCACGTGAAATTATAGACATGCAAAGGTCAAGCACAATGGTTGATCGTCTCTCCTAATTTATTTATTTATTTTTTTTGTCATTTTTTTTTTTTGTTTCATTTACAAAGCGAAAACTTGATCTCATGTCTATTGTTATCTATAACTTTCGACCCCTTTAAACGGACACGTTCCTTTTTTTTTTTTTATTTCCCCTTCTGTTTTTTTTTTTTTTTTTGTTCTCTGCATTAATTCGAAAGAACAAGGAAAACCCATATTTGGTACAATAAGCCAAAAAAAAAAAAAAAAACAATCCTATGACGTTTTACACGCGCTATGAAATTTGAAGAAAATGTGTATTATTTATATCATCAAATTGTTTCAAACATGAATTAGAATAGGAGGTTCATGACCCTGAAAAAGATCAACCTTGAGATTGGAGAAAAATGTCTAGCAAACACATTTTCATGATAAAACTAAATAAAATTTACGTTACACCGAAAGTGACTATACAGATATTGGAAGTACTTAACTATCTCCTTTATCTCATATAGAAAAGTCCCTAGCAACCATACATTTTAAGATTCAATGTAAAGCAAGCTATATTCAAATGAAGTATAACTTAAACGAACGTACCAACCTTTATTATGGTTACAGATACCACAGACTTTTGATTACTTCATTCTTTACACCTGGTAACAGCATCTAATCTTATAATATAATTTTCTAGTAAAACGGTATTTATCACCATACATTTAAATGCAATGTTGAATAAAGAACTGCAAATGATATCTTTAATCTTTGGACATTTTCTTTACCCTTTTACATGTAACAACAAGGGCTACAGACGTGACAGACTCACTAATTCAATGAAAATAGTCCTTTCGTCCGATGGTCAGAAAATTGTAAATACTTACTCGACTCTCACAAATATTGACGATTTCAATTACATTTTATGATGAGACTTCATAATACCTGATAGGAGTGTTGTGTCTGGTTTTTTTCTTCAGCGGCTATATCCAACCAACAGCTGTATCTACCTTAGCTAGTTTCTTGTAGTACCAATAATATTTTGACCCTACCTTTAGAACTATGTACCGTATTTTATTTTCTTATCAAGGTAGCAATCAACCTGTTGGTAGCTGCACTGTGCATATGTTATATAGTGTGTTGTAGGTTTTAAAAATACAAAAAATTGGTCTAGATAGCCAAAGGGGTGGTTTGTGCGGATCTCACTACATTCTGTGCATAATTTGAGCCGTCTGGACCATGTGATGTTCATTGATGTTTTTTTGAAGAACGTTTTTGGTTGGTATGGTCTGTTTTACTGGCGATTCCTGCTATCCCTATTTATGTATTATGTCATATGTCACTACGATCTATTTACCTGGAATTAACTATTATCCTCTCTTAATCATAGAAAGAAATTTACAACTATAGGATCTAATGTAAAGAAAGTTTTACTATTACACGAAAATAAAAAGACAAACTTTTTGTAATCGAGAAATAACTTATAACCACCGTTATGTAATAAAAAGGCACCGTATGAACCTATTTGTTTTGAATTAGTATTGAGTAAGCTATCTTTTGACATTGGAAATGACTTTGAGCAAATAGAACATGCCATTTACAATGCAACTCTCTTATCTAATAAAAACATAAAAGAAAAAACTATATATTTTTAGGTCAGTAATTATAATCCTCCTTCGAGACATATTATGTGACTTTTTAATGCCGATTTGTTTCTCTCTCTCGCGTTTATTGAACACTTATAAGCAGGTAACAAATTTTGAATTTAGTACAACCTCTTCATATTTCAGTTGAAGTTTACATGTATCAGTTTAACTTGATATGAATTTGAAGGTGGAAAGACCTGAAATTTACACAAAGAGAAGATGTTTAATACCTAAGATTGAAATTGTTTTTTTTTAGGAATGGCAAAACAAGCAAAGTGCTAAAGGACGGAATTTCAGATACGTTTGGAATAAAGGACAGTTTGATTCTGTAGATCCTCAGACAACAGATTATTTACTTGGTTTGTGAAATTATGAAAACTGAAATTCTTCAAATATTATACAAACCCAAAATAATAACGGACTATTCTAAATATGTTCTTTTGAGGGTCAAACTTTATTTGCAAAGTCAGGTGTAAAAACGATTTAAAAGCCACAGGTATATGACATAAAGACATATATTTGCAGAAGCATGTCTTCTTTGCCAATAATCCAACCTCCGAAATACATGATAATACATTGAAAATGATAGGGAATGTAAGAGAGTATAGTAAATGTAGAATTTGTTGCTATTTTTTAATGCGAAAAGTGCAATTGAACTCGCATATTTAAGTCAGATTGCAAGACGTGTGAGCAGTATTTCTAATATTGAAGTTCCATATTTTTCGGATGATCAACAATGGCAATTATATATTGCACACAATAGTTTTTAAGGTTATTATAATAATTGTTTCTTTTTGCATTTTAGGTCTTTTTGAATACAGCCATATGCAGTATGAAGTTGATCGTAACACGACAAGTAATGGAGAACCTAGTATTACTGAAATGGTTGAAAAGGCTATCAGAATACTTAAAAAGAATTCTAACGGATTTTTCCTTTTGGTTGAAGGTCAGTTTGCAATTAGTTATATGGATGATTTTTACATTGATTTTACTATGTAATATTACCAGTTTTCAATATTTGGTTGTATCTTATACAACCTCCTTGGTTTTACCAAAAATTTGATGCGACAGTAATTTACCGATGTTCTAATCTCTCACATTGATAAAGAAAAGACAAATCATGGGAACACACAATAGGCGAGGGAATCGCATGAACTCATTAAGGAAAGAGACCGGGTGCGTCGACAGAATAAGCATAAACTGCTATGTATGCATCATATGCCATGCTTATCCCCACTAATTACTGCTGTTATACACTGATTTAATGTTAGAGTCTTCCCTTTACTGTGCTCGGTCAACTAATCATACCTGATTATTCAATCTTGCAAGGTTCGTCACACTAAAACAATACAAATAAAATTGAGAATGGAAATGGGGAATGTGTCAAAGAGACAACAACCCGACCAAAGAGCAGAAAACAGCCGAAGGCCACCAATGGGTCTTCAACACAGTGAGAAAATCCCGCACCCTGAGGTGGGCTTCAGCTGGCCCCTAAACAAAAATGTGTACTAGTTCAATGAAAATGGACGTCACACTAAACTCCACAACATATAAAAGAACTAAAATTAAAAAACATATAAGACTAAAAAAAGATATTATCTTACATCTGGGACATATCAGAACAATAAAGCATTGACAAAATTTAAGAAAGATATGTAATTTTTAGTCTATTTTGCCACTTTCCTTATTTTCAAGTAATTTTCATGAACATTGAAGGATTTCATCTGTTTTAGCAGAATACGATTTCGACATAACAACATACAAATTTTCTAAATAGGTATAATTAAGTTCTCTTCAATAGGTGTAAATGCAAGAGCTTAATAGTAATTAAAAGATTTCTGTATTGCCTGAAAATCATTCTCGGTTCCACCAAAGCTCGAGTTTAAAATGTTTCCTTCTTGTATGTTAATACATAAAATAGCGGGGTGTCCTTTGGCTATGCAGGATTCTACGTCCAGCCTAAAAAGGAACGTTCAATACTATGATTCGTGCAGGGATAGTGCCTCGTTCTCTGCAAGTTAAATAGCATTTGCAAGTTATTTCAGGTGTTCATAAGTGACATATTGCCAGGTAAAATATTTCTGGATATTGAACAGGCACATTATTATTTTGAAAGAAATTATTTTTGTCTGTAAAGTAAAACGTTATTTTAAAACTGTTTGAAAAATATATAAAATAAACAACAAATAATTTCACTAATTAACCACTAGTTTTTTTGAGACTTAAATTTTAAAGACAATAGTTAGAAAGAAAGTTTTTTAAAGATTTTTAATGAAATCCCGGAATACAAAATATTTAGAAATAATGAAATCCATAGCAATGAAAATCCATAAACGGAATTTCGTACTTTCAGGGAGTAACATCGATATTGCCCACCATGATACGCTCGCAGCTAAAGCCTTAACAGAAACAGTGTCATTGGATCAAGCCGTCACCAAAGCACTAGAATTGACCAATGAAGAGGAAACCTTGGTTATAGTGACAGCTGATCATTCTCACGTGTTCAGTATGGGCGGATATAACTACAGGGGAAACGACATTCTAGGTATGTATTTTTTTATACTACAAATAGACCTTCATTAAGTCCCAGGAAACAACATATTTAAATTTGAAAAAAATTTGTTAAAGCGTTTTCATGTTATTGTGCTGACACTGTTTGGCAGCCGCCCGTAGGCTAGCCCAGCCGCCCGCCGTACATCACCATTTTAATAACCGATATTTCCTTCGAAAATCCGGTAAAAAAACTGAAAACAAATCTGAGCATTACATAACCAGCTGATAATTCTTTTACACAAACGTGATGATGTATCTGATAAGAATCACTCCAATCCTTTTAAATATACATGTAAAGCAGTGGTCAAGCTTGTGCCATCTCAGGATTTGCAGAATTTTCAATGAATATACATTTATCGACTAATTGAATATATTGGGTAATGGGATATTTTTTGCTGACATAATTTTTGGGTATCCGATATGCGAAGTCTACTGTCCAACGGATGAAAATTGTTAAGTTTATAGAATTCATTGTATTATATATATACAGCAAACTCTGAATTTGTAAGGCATACTCGGGCTAGCAGGTCAGTTTTGATGGGCTAGCAGTTCTTCCAACAGGGCTAGTTAAATCCTGCTACCAATTAGCCCTGGGCTAGTGTGATGTAACAAAATGTTTTAACCCCTGAATAAAATAAGATTTGAAATATACAGTACATGTATGACCAATTATATATCCCTGAAAAAGACATCTTTTTTGTTGTTCTCAAATTAATGTCCCAATATTATTGGCTTCTCTAATTGATGTCTTTTTTACAGACTAGCCACAATGAAATCAAAGTTTTATAAAATGATAGGTTGAACTCATACTAAAAGGTTGTGAAAGATATATTTCAAATCTTGCAAATACATGTAATAATACATTTCAGCAATTGGCTGTACATGTACTTTTAGTTTTTTATTTTGTCTATTGTTTGAGATTGTGTATTGACCTCTAGACGTCTTTCAATTATCTTTGGCAGTGGGTTGTTTTCTTATTGTTGTACATGTATATTAATAATAATCCTCGTGGCATTTACTTAAATGAATATGAAAGAAATATGACAAAAGTAGATCGAGAGGATGAACTTCTTACACCAAAATATTAATATGCATAAGGTGATGTTGATGGTGGTCTTATTGTAATTGTCTGAGGTTTGACCTTTTAATTTTAAGCTGTAACATGCCCAAGATTTAATGTCAATAGACCAGGACAACCATGACTAAGGGGATTGACCAGCTAATCCCCATGGATGAGATGTTGTAATTCTGATACATGTACAACAACACACCAAATATTATTGACTTAAATGTACCAGTACTGGTTCCCAACAAACTGAACTAATCAGATTCAGCATATAACAGAGCTCCACATAAGAATTCACAAATTGGGGTTGTTACCCATTATTTTTTATGTAATTGAGTGAAATAGTTTTTCAATTGCATTATTAACTCCATTTCACCCTTCAAGCAAATATCAAATTGGTTTTTTCACCACCAAGCTCTATAATGTATTGGGTTTTTTCATCATCAAGATATTGAATTTAGGCATGTTATAATGAAGGTATATCAAACCAAGATGTTCATCCATGATTTGAATATATTTCTTTCATTATATATGTGATGGCTGTTTTATTTGAATTATACCTTGATAAGCAATTGTTCGTTTAATTTCAGTCTGGTTTGTTTCAACTGTTCAGCCAGTTTTGTATTTTCTCTCAAATTTATATAAACTGGTGTCACTAGTGGGGCATGCAATAACTTATTACCTTTCTAGCACATTGGATCACCCTTCAGTTTATTTGGGGTACATTATAGGTACACGTGTGGCTAAGTTTTAGATTTTTATGCAGTACTTGTGAACATTGGATCCTGTAAGACAGTTTTGCCAGTCCTATCAACTGTTCTCCAGACTTACTTTAAAAAATAATAAATGTGGATAGTGTCCACATGTGGACACAGATGATGCCCCCGCTTGCATATCATATAGATATAAATGGACATAACTGAAGAACGGTAAAAGTGACGCTACCCAAATTTGAACTTGATCTGAGTTTTGTGGTAATAAGCATTGCATTGTGTGTAAGTCTCATAACATTTTGTTGGGGCTAACTTAAGTAGAGAACAGAAACTAAAAATTCAGCAATTTTCTATTTGTAAACACGCATAACTCTAGAACGGTTGTGTATAAGTTTTATAACATTTGGTTGAGACAAACTAAAGTTAGAGAACGGAAACGAAAAATTCAGCAATTTTTATGTTTATAAAAGGACATAACTCAAGAATGGTAAAAGTGTCGCCACCAAATTTCGTACTTAATCTGTATTATGTAGTAGTAAGCATTGTGTATAAGTTTCATAACATTTGGTTGAGGCAAACTAAAGTTAGAGAACGGAAACAAATTTTGGGACGTACGTACAAACGGAAACAAAAAAATTGTACTTGATCTTAGTTTTATGGTAATGAATATTGTGTATAGGTTTCATAATGTTTGGTTGGGGCAAACTGAAGTTACAGAATGGAAACCAAAAATTTTGCAATCTTTCGATTTATAAAGGGGCATAACTCAATAATGGTTAAAGTGACACTTCCCAAATTCAACTTGATCTGTGTTTTATCAGTGGAAGTCAAAATTAAACATTGCATTGTATAAAGCATTGATTGTAGTTGATTCAACTATAATCATGGACAAGGGAAGATAACTCCAATTTTAAAAATTACTTGATATTTAGAAGAAAATAAAAATTTTGCAATTTTTCCATTTATAAAGGAGCATAACTCTAGAACGGTTAAAGTGACGCCACCAAAATTAAAACTTGATCTGTGTTTTGTGGTAATAAGCATTGTGTATAAGTTTCATAACATTTGGTTGAGGCAAACTAAAATAAGAGAATGGAAACGAAAAATGCAGCAGTTTTTCCATTTGTAAAGGGGCATAACTCTAGAAGGGTAAAAGTGACGCCACCAAAATTCAAACTTGATCTGTATTTTGTGGTAATAAGCGTTGTGTACAAGTTTCATAACATTTGGCTGAGGCAAACTAAAGTTAGAGAACGGAAACCAATTTTGGGATGTACGTACGTACGTACAGACGGACAAGGGTAAAACTTTATGCCCCCTCCGCTACGGCGGGGTCATAAAAAAATAGTTGGATTTAGATATACCTTAAACCTTGACTGGAACGACCAGGTAATATAGTCACCCTGGTCGCATGGTTTTCTGTCTGGATGAGCTATGCATGAACCCATGCGTCCGAGGAACGCTTCTTAATAACACTAGCTGAGTTTTGTTATCATAACTATCCCTCAGCTATCAAAAAGAAGCTAAAATAATAAAATTGAGAATGGAAATGGGGAATATGTCAAAGAGACAACAACCCGACCAAAGAGCAAATAACAGCCAAAGGTCACCAATGGGTCTTCAATGTAGCGAGAAAATCCCACATCCGGGGGTGGGCCTCAGCTGGCCCCTAATGGGGCTGAATAGTGAAATTTGTGTTTTAAATAAATATTTCTCAAGTAATGAACATAGAGATGTTCTCGCTCGGACACGCACTCCATGAAAACATGCTTCTATTTAATATTTTTACTGGAAATTTACTTTCGTTTTAATTCATTCATAACTTCATTGTCATAAATCCCGAGCAATACCAAAATAATTATGATCACTTACACTACAGTAAGTTGATAAACACAGAGAAGGTCGAAATCTATTTACATCAGCACGTTTACCTTTTTGAGCAACAGACAATTTCAACAGAGACCCAGATCAACCATTTTATGTAACGCTCTATTTTAAGATCGCAAGGAAATTTCCAGTTACATGTATCAATATTACAAAAATAGATTTACGGGATGATAATGTATAGATAAGGGTAAATAATGCACAGGAAAAGGACTAGAAAGGTTGAGAACCCATGGTTTTCATATATAATTGGGTTTTTGAACGCTGCTTTGGTTAATTGCGTTGGGTTTTCAATTGTGTTTATTGCGTGATCACGCAAATACGCAGCTTATCTGGAGCTCTGTAATAAATATAAACTAATAATATTTGGGGGCAGCCTCCTTAATATCAAAAGAATGAGATATTCAAATGCTCCTTCAACTGCATTATAGTACACGTACATACCATGTTTCAATGACTTCCCTTAAGTGTTTCCAGATAAACTAACCTACATGTACATGTAAACAAACAGTAATGTGGTCTAGATCTTATTTCATCGGTGGAGGAAGCCGGAGAGAACGGCCAACCATTGGTTGCATGACTGACAATCATAGTCAATAAAGATTATATTTGAGTCAAAAATTGTAACTATAATCTTTAACAAAATAGTTAACGCCATTGGCTATGCCAAAAACAGCACACATTCTTTTTGTACCTTAGTTAAGCTTTGAAGACTTTGTTGCAGCAAGACAAAAGAATAAGACAACTTTCGAGTTAATTGTATCCCTCAAAAACTTTGGTTTAAGTGAACATCATTCCTGCGTTTAGGGGCGTCGTCACTTCGATTCCTATGTTGAGCGATTGGTTGAAAAAAAAATAATGCTTTATTGCACGATTCATTTTCGCAAATTAAATTCTTATAATTGAAATCAGCACATCTGTCATTAGAAAAATGTTCTTATGTACCTGTTGGAACAAACATTATTTCTAGTTCATCTTGACGATTACGAAGGCACTTGATGAACTTTAATAGTGCAGGGATACAGGCAGTCCCCTCTATCTAGTAAATGACGTCATAAAGGTGTGTATAATTGACGAAATTTTCCAGCAAACATAACATTAACTCTAAAGTGGTCTATTGGGAAAGGGTTCCTCACCTACAATTGCAGCTGTCAGTGTTAATGTGTAATGGTGTCTGTCAAAAAAATAAGTCCATCTATTAGTGATTAGTTTACAAAGTATTGAACATGTTTGTTGAAATAATACACCTTATCGCTATTTGTCTGCCATTACTGGACATCACAAAGGTTCCTGTAAAATGTTGACGTTATAATACAAAATATCTGACGC